AGTACCTGTTCAGCGTATTACTGGTGTGGTCTTGCTGTCAATAACGATGTCTCAGTACAGTCTAGAAAAGACTTCATCAATCTCCTGTAAGTGTCTCTGCAGCAGTCTGATCAAGCAGGCGTGATGTTCTGGGCAGAGCTATTGCTTGGGAGGGTGCGTTTCACGTGTAAGCGTAGGTCTGCTCAGAGCATAGATTTTTTTTGTCTTGACAGGTATATACGGTGCGATAGTTAATTCAGAGGACTGTAAAATAGCTGATCATTAATCCGGTTCTTCCTAGTCATGCAGATTGATGTTTTTCACGTGGTATGAAACGTTACCCAACAGAGCGGAGGAAATAGGGTGCACCATCACTTCTCGACTGTGTTGGCAAAATTACATGTTTATAAAAAATGCATTAGGAAATGGGAGGGGTTGTGAGAGCAAACCACATGAAGCATTTATTTCTCAAGAATGTTGCCGTCCTCCGAGTCTGCCTCCGACTTGCACTCGATTGATTTTTCCAGAGCTGCAGTTAATGAGGCAATAGCTTGCTAACTGACTGCAGCAGAAACTTCCGAGAGCAGAATCTCCTGTGCTGATGTGCAGCCTGGAAAGGGAGGAATTTAATTATAAGGTGGCAAGTTGTTTGGACAGTTGGAGGTTTAAAAGGAAAACTGTGAAGTGTGTGATGCCTGGTTCGGGGGGGTTTCAAATAGCCCTTCCTCGCCCCATTGTGGCAGAAGAGTTGGTAATTTCTAACCGCCGCCTGTTGGTCTGTGGCTGTCTGGTACCTGTTCGCTGGTGTCTGCGCAGTTGTGAATGGTGGGCTGAGACACATTTGAGCTGGGCAACCGCGTTCAAAGATGTGTTGTATGCCAGGGCTAGCAGGTAGCCCTGCGGCCACAGCCTGACTATGTTGGCAGAGGCGGGGTGGTTTGAGGTCTGCCACGTGCCACCAAATGTCACACAGAAAAAAGTGTCACCGGGGAATCAGAAGCATGGGGACCACAGTTCCACAGGAGCAGTCTTCTGAGTGATGTGGCACTTCTGCAAAACACAGGGATAGTTTGCATGGAGGCGTGGTGTCCTGGTTTCAGCGGGGACAGAGTTAATTTTCTTTCTTGTGGTTGCTGTATTTTCAGATTTGGTATGAAAGGAATGTCAGTAATGCATATTGTTTGAGTTGTTGCCAGGTGATGCATATATTTTTCAAAGACTTTTTTCAGCTTCCCTTAGAAGCTGAGAAGGAGTATAGACAGAAAGAGAGAATGGCCAGTGGAATATTCTGTACCGTGGACATTGTGCTCAGTATATACACAGTCTTCATCTCAAACCATGAGCCTTTTTTTCTCCTCCTTTTCTCCCTCTTCTCCCTGCCTTCTGGGGGAAGGGGGAGAACTGTGCGAGCAGCTGTGTGATCCTGGCTGCCAGCTGGGGTTGAACCACGACACCTGGTTACCTGGTTACTTAACTCCTTTAGGGAACCGGCCCATCTATTACAAGAGCTTTTCCTCAGGAACTCCCGGTGTTTTGATCCAGAGCAGATGGCTGACTTAGCAGAGCAGCTGACTTGCCGGGTGCAGTTTTACTTTTCAGCCTAGAAGAGTTCTGTAGTATTTCTTATAGCATGCTCCCGCATTGTACCGTACACTTCAAAAAAACTCTGCCCACTACTGACATAAAGGAGCTTCTTTCAATTCTGTTTCTGTAACCCTGTTACAGGAGGGGAAGGAGGAGAAAGGATGACAAGAGCCCAAGGCTGCCCAAGAGGAGGTGAGTGATCCCCTCTACTCAGTTCTGTTCTGAAGACTCGTTTCCCTTCTGGTCTACACAGAGACGTTGATTGTCTCTGAAGCCGTCTCTCTTGCACAGTATAGAAATCTGCCGTAAAGGCGGCGGGGGGGGGGAAGCAGCATGCCTTGACTTCCCTCCTGTCCTTCCACCCTCTCCCTGTAGATGTGGGTTTGATTTCTTCCAGCTGAACTCCCTGAGTTGATCCCTAGCCTGGCATTGCCCAGCAATAAGCATCTAGGGACTCCTGGCGCTTTCTTGGCTCTGGGGGAGCCCTCAAGTAGTGCTAGGAGCAGGGGAGCTCTCGGCATAGCCCAAACAGGAATATCGGAGCAGCAATCCTTGGCTCTCACATCACCGAGCTGCGCTCGCACTGGTTTCTCTTGCTGCTGCCCATTGGCTAACGACTTTGCCCCTCTCCTTACTGACTTCTTAGGAAGAAGCCTCCAATACAGTATGTCCGCTGTGAGATGGAAGGCTGTGGCACAGTCTTGGCTCACCCCCGTTACCTGCAGGTTGGTTGAGATTTTTTGCTTCCTGAATGGCGCATGCGAGGGCAGGGAAGGGCCGTTTGGAACATCCTCCGCTGGCACTGGAGCACTCCTTTCTAACCGTCTTTTTGGTAGACTTAGTCAGTTGTGGCCAGTTGTGGCCACATGTCTCCGCATCTGTCCTGTCGCTAGTTGTCCACATTTGTTTGGCTTTCTTCTCTCAGTGGAGATCAAAGCCTTCGTGTTCATGGTACAAAGGTGGTGTCAGTGGTTGGAGCGTGGTGGTGTGCTGAGGGGCTGTCTTGGATGGATGTGTCTCAGCTGTTCTCTCAGCCATGCGAAGAGAGTGTCTGCAACCTTTCACTCTTCCTTTGTAGCATCACATAAAGTACCAGCACCTGCTGAAGAAAAAATACGTGTGTCCTCATCCCTCCTGTGGTCGGCTGTTCCGACTCCAGAAGCAGCTCCTGCGGCATGCCAAACACCACACAGGTACAGGGAAGGGGGAAAGAGATACAAACTCCTCCTCGGGTCAGTGGACAGAGCTGAGGCGGAAGGAAAAACCTCTAGGATATTCGGGGAGAGTGAAGCCAAGGCGGGTGGCGTAGACTTGCAGCAGCAGCAGCAGGGTATTATTTCTTTCTGGATTACCATCTTTTAAGGAAATGAAAGAAATAGGCTGTAGAGTTTTTAATTCACCCCCTGGCAAGTATCGCTCAGGGGTTCTGTACAGGAATAAACCAAGCCAAGCTAAGCTTAGGATAATTTGCCAGTCTTTCAGTATCGGTCAGAATGGATAATTAGCTCTTGGGAGAGTCTTAATCGCGCCTTAACTCTCTGGATCAGCGGCTGTGGTGTATTGTGGGACACCTCCTTTGTTGTGCCTGCTGGCCTCCCAGCACTTCTAGTTCTGCTGCTTCTTGGGCAGCTTTACCTGCGACGCATGCAAGCTGGGAAGGGAGCAGGTCTGCGGGAGAGTAATGCTCCAGCTGGTGTTGTTTTTCAGATCAAAGGGATTACATCTGTGAGTACTGTGCCCGGGCGTTTAAGAGTTCTCACAACTTGGCGGTGCACCGAATGATCCATACGGGCGAGAAGCCCTTGCAGTGAGTACCTCTGCCTCCCTCTTGCTCCCCTGCTTTGAGGGACCCTTGGATACCCCAGTCTTGGGCTGCAGCGAGAGCAGGGGCAGCTCCCAGGTCAGGGCCAGAACCTGTTCTTGGTGTCCCAGCTCTCTTTGAACGCACGCCTGTAGGGGTGGTCGGGCTGCCACTCGTCTCTCCTGCTTCTTGAGGCAGTGTCTCAGGAGAGGTCTGAGGAACACAAGCCCTCTGCAAATAAAACTGCAAAAGCTGGAGCTATGGTGAAATCCATTTTAGTGAGCCCCTGTGGTGTTCCCGGGCTGCCTCTTTGCTGCTGCTGTCCCCACAAGTACGTGGGGATGTCCCTTTGTTGTGACCTCCCCCTTGTCCCCTCCCAGGTGCGAGATCTGTGGATTCACCTGCCGACAGAAGGCTTCCCTCAACTGGCACATGAAGAAGCACGATGCGGACTCCTTCTACCAGTTCTCCTGCAACATTTGCGGCAAGAAGTTTGAGAAGAAGGACAGCGTTGTGGCCCACAAAGCCAAGAGCCACCCCGAAGTGCTTATTGCTGAAGCACTGGCTGCCAACGCGGGCGCCCTGATCACCAGCACCGACATCCTGGGCACTAATCCTGAGGCCATTGCGCCCCCCACTGATGGCCAGGGCCTCCCCCTGCTTCCCGACCCCCTGGGAAGTGCTGCCCCGGCCGATTGCCTGCTGCTGAGCCCCGACGGCATGCCGAAGACATACTGTGGTGGCACAGAGCGCGTCAGCCTGGTGGCTGACGGCAAGCTCTTTGTGGGCAGCGACAGCAGTGCAAACCCAGAGGGGCTGGTCATGAACACGGAGATCCTGGGAGCCACCACGGAGGTGCTCATCGAAGATTCAGACTCCACTGGACCCTAGTGGGTGGGGAGCACATGGGTGCTGGGACAGTTTGGACTCTGTATTTAAAAGAAAAGGAAAAAAAAAAAAAAAAGAAAAAAAAGAGGAGACACTTACTGAAAGAGAGAAAAGTTACACTTACTGAAAGAGAGAAAAGTTAAACAAAACTTACAGTACTAGTAAATAACCGAAGGGTCTGCTCCCTTCCAGCGTGGATCACAGCACATCCTCTTTCTCCCAGCCACTTCTCTCTCTCCCACTGCTCCTTCGTAGAAAGGGGCACGTGCTGCCATTACCAGAGCAAGCTGGATCGAGCGACAGATTTCTCCAAGGGAGGGGGCACTGCCGAAACCCTTCGCTTTACCCCAAAGCAGATGCCTTTCTGGCTCCTTGATGTGGCCCCACTCGCAAACTAGAAAGCATTTGATGTGCTCTGGACAAGTTTCTTAGGACTCCCTCTCGCCCCTGGTCCCGACTTCTATGCATCGCTGCACTCTGGTCCTTGCAGTCTCATTCTTCCTCCCGGGGCTGGGAGTTTGGCTTGGCACTTTAGGCCCCCGCAGCAGGGTGAGCTGTGAAACGGTGCACGTCCCTCTCCCCACCGCGCTCCTCGGCCCCGGCGCTGGCAGGCAGTCGAGGGAACGCCCTGGCTCGTAGATCGTGTTTGCTTGGAGAGGCCCGGGGGCTACAGGAGCCCTGCGTGGGAGAGGCGAGGAGGAGCATCCCAGTTTGACGACAGTAATTTGCACTTTGAACATGTTTCGTTTTTGTGTTGTGGTAACAGGATTCCTTATTTATTGATAAAAAAAGGGTCGGTATTTTTCAGTTGTGTTCTTAGGGGGTGGGGGTGGAAGGGGTTCCGGCTGTTTCCCAGGAGGCTCCTTCGCAGCAGGGAGCACGTCGTGCCGTCGTAACAGCGGCTGGGGGAGCCGAGGTGAAGGCGGCGTTGTGGAGTCAGACGTCTCTCGCAGCTTTTCCTGGGTAGAGGGAGAACCCCCGGAGAAGATCCTGTTTGCAGTGGGAGTCTCTGCGGCAGCGTTTTAGCAGGAGGATGAGGTGAGTGGTGGAACAGCTGGATGGTGTCTCCCTCCCTCCCAGGTCGGGGTGAGCTCCTTGCATTAAGTGCTCTTCTTGCCTCCCCCTTGCTCCCTGGCCGTTCAGGGAAGAACATTGTTAGCCAGGAACTCGTTCTCGTGACTTAGGGCAGTTGTGAGCTGCTTGCTGCTGGGGGATGTGCTCCTCATCCAACTCTGCCTCTCCTTTCCAGCTCTAGGCAAAGATACAGGCGCGGGATACTGTTGTCTCAGGCTCGTTTATCCAAGGCAGTAGACTGACGCGGGACAAAGGGGCTGTCGGCTTCTCTCCCTGCCCACATTTTGGGGGGAGGGCGTTGTGCAGCCGCGCTCTCAAAGCTGCTCTCTCCTGTGCCAACACCCCTGCGTCCCGTGAAACGCGGCGGTTCAGGTGTCGCCTGCCAGTGTAGTGAGGCCAGCTCTGCGCCCTTGGAAGAGTTTACGGAGGATGTGATGTGTCTGCTATGGAGACTTGGATCTTTTTGCTCTTACCTGAAACTTTGTGTGGAAATTCAGTGGCCTTGAATTCGTAGTGTTTTCGGAAGAGGTGAAGAATAACCTGGGCTTTTTGTTTGTTTGCTTGGTTTTTTTTTGGTTGGGTTTATGTGGTTGGGAGCAGAACTGAAGTATTTTGTCCGAGCACGAGATCAGCTGAGTTGGTCTGTAGCACACAGCAGCTGGGCAAAATCGGGTACCTGAGTCTGGAGAATGGCAATAAAACACAGAATTTAATTGGAAACTTTTTACGTGACACTGACTCGGGACACCCTCTCTGTCCCCAGTGCTGCCTGGGAATCCAGCTGTGGCCCGAGCCTGACAGCTTTTATTGGGCCGTTTGTCCTGATTTGCCCCCTCCCTTCCCCCTTACACTGATGTCTTCGTCAGAGCAAGTTGAAACACTTCTGGTGTTGGGGCGGTTCGTGGCTGAACAGTTTGCGGCTCTGGTGTCTGATGCCCTGGGTGTGGGCATCCCACGTACCGTGGCGGCGGCGTGGCTGCCGTGCCCGCAGGGGATGCGTCTGCCCACCAGCCTCTCCTGGAGATCGGGATGAGGGCGCAGCATGTCTGAACACGGGTCCCCTGGGACCATGCATGTCAGGTCTGTGGTGGTACGGTGTTAAAACTAAGCCAGTTCCTTCAGTTGGCACGATCCGATGTCTTGCTCGGATCAAATTATTATGATTTCCAGCAGGAAGGTTTTGGGTGGCCAGCCGGTCCCCTCTCCTTGCAAACTAAAGAGAAGCAGCACAATGAGACGTGTTCAAACCCAACTCTGGTGGTTCCCCCCCTCAGCACTGCAGGTCTTCTGTCCAGGAGGACTTGGGGCTGGCTGAGCCCGGCGGTGTGGCAGTGTGGCTCCTGGCCGTCGGTAGCAGATGCGCTCCTGTGTGGCCACCAGCCTCTCCTGGAGATCGGGATGAGGGCGCAGCATGTCTGAACACGGGTCCCCTGGGACCATGCATGTCAGGTCTGTGGTGGTACGGTGTTAAAACTAAGCCAGTTCCTTCAGTTGGCACGATCCGATGTCTTGCTCGGATCAAATTATTATGATTTCCAGCAGGAAGGTTTTGGGTGGCCAGCCGGTCCCCTCTCCTTGCAAACTAAAGAGAAGCAGCACAATGAGACGTGTTCAAACCCAACTCTGGTGGTTCCCCCCCTCAGCACTGCAGGTCTTCTGTCCAGGAGGACTTGGGGCTGGCTGAGCCCGGCGGTGTGGCAGTGTGTCTCCTGGCCGTCGGTAGCAGATGCGCTCCTGTGGTGCGGGTCGGCCACATCGTCCCCACGCTTTGCTGCAGCCCGCGCTGCTGGAGCTGCCGTTCGTGCCCTGCCCCCGTGGGAGCTGCCGAGCAGGCAGAGCCTTGCGCAGAACACTAAATGGAGAGCTCGGGGTTTCGTTTTCTGAGGGACGGCACTAAAACGCTTTTGGGTCAAGGGCTTGCTCAGCGCTGGTGACACAACGCTTGGCACCTGGCTGGGAGGCGAGGGAGGCGGCCTCCTCCGGTGTCTCCCCCTGCCCGAGCAGAGCAAAGAGTTTCCCATCGGCTGCGTTTCTGGGACGCGGAATCAAGCGGCTCATTTGCTTCCCGGCCCAGACACCTCTGGTCCCTGCCTTGTCCTTCCGTGCACACCTCTCGTAGCTCTCCTTTTTCTTTTTCTGGTCTCGGCCAGTTGCCTGTCTGTCCTCTAACCACAGCCTGCTAACTGACCCCCGATGCAGGAGAGACTGGTGTAGCTCCCTTCCCGCTCCTCTTTGGAACCCTAAAACTGACACAGCCCTCCTGCAGCTCTTCCTCCCCTCGATGTCTCTCCTCCACTCGCATGCAGTTTGCTTCAATAAATTATTGTAGTAGTTTGCAATAAACTTTTTTGTATTTTTTTCCCTGTATTTATTTTTTTTGTTCTCCTCCCAGGGAGGGGACGGAGGGGGCGCAGGTCCCTCGCCTGCTCTCGGTGCCCCGGAGAGCCGGTGGGGGCCGTGCCCGGCATGCGGGCAGGGTCCTCTCCGCGGCCGTGGGGCGCGGGGTTTGGGCCGGGGGCAGCGCTGACTGGAGCTGGGGGGCTCCCAGAGCTCGGCAGCGCTTTCTGCAGTAGCCACCAGGTGGCAACGACGCTGCTGGGTTGGCCACCGGCCCTGGGAGTTGGGGCTGGGGGTCCGGGCAGTCCCCCAGCTGGGCTGGGCAAGGCTCGCTGTACTGTGATGCTAAAGGGAAACTGCTTTTCCACTCCTGTTTTTTTCTCTTACTCTGGGTAATACATAACCAAAATAAACGTACTGAGGAAAAACCAAACTAACCAAAAGGGCTGTTTTTGTCTTGGTGCATGCATGCCCCCCATGGTGGGTGGCTGGGACCTCCCCCCCTGCCTGCAGCCCCCCTTAGGGCAGGACCCCTGGGGGAAAAGGGGGTTCGACCTGGGGGACCCGGTCCCTCGCGGCCATGGGGAGTGGGGGGGCTGGAGGCAGACAGTCCTTCTGTTGGGGTCTGGGTTGCAGCCCAGCCTGCGGCCGGTGCTGGGTCTGCGGCCGGGGGCTCCCCTCGGTCCCTGCAGCCCTCTGCCCTGCTCAGGCCCCAGCCCACTGCCCGGGCTGAGATGTTGAGCAATGTCCGGGCTTTGCTCGCCTCTTCCCGGCAGCGGTTTCCCGCGCTCTGGCATGAGCCGGGGGGATTAGCGTGCCGCTCGTCTCGCTGTGCAGCTGGGAGGGAGCAATGGGTCAGAGCGGGGCTGGGAGCCTGTCGCTGCTGGGCGAGACCGTTCTGGGCAAAGTGCTTGGAGTAGCAAACCGCGGGGGAATTAGGGAAATAATCTGTCGCTGTTGATCCCAGTGGCGGGAATTTGCAGCGTCGTGCCAGGCCCCAGGCGCGGAAGAGGGGGAGAGCCCGGCCAGCGGACGTGTGAGCGGAGCTCCCG